TTGGCCCCGTCTTGTGTGGGCGTGGGCAAATGCTATAATGCTGTGAATTGATTGGAGTTTGCGATGTGCTTGGACCCTCCAGAAAGTACGTCCGACATTCGCCGTTACGAACCTATCAAGTAAAGGCTTCGCAAGCTCTCATAGCGCCTGATAATAGGCAACATCTCGCCTGCAGTGCATGCGTGTAGTGCGGGGTGGCCTACCCTGCGGTTCGCAGGCGCCTACACTGAGAAAAATTTTTGGTGCCAGGCACTAAAACTTTAGTGCCCAGGTCGAAAGTTTTTCGACGCACTAAAGTGTTTAGTTCCAGGGGCAAAAGGCGTTTAGTGCGCCGGCTTTGGTGCCAGGCGCTGAATAGATCAGGCACTGGCACTAAAGAATATGCAAGCTGAGGCATTAACTAAAACTTTTCCCCGAACATAAACTGGGTACGATGACAGGGACAATACTGGATTTGGTCCACACTCTGTAACCAGGGAGTGCAATAGTGGAGTTGATTTTCAAACGGGTGGAATAGCCATGCACTTTCCGTACAAATCTCCTTTCAAAAATCAGCGCCATAGTACCAAATGGCGGCAAGTGGCGGCTCCTCTAAATAAGGTACGCCATTAATTCGGGGAAACTGCCCAAGCACCTGATGCTGTGTGCACCCGGGGCACCCAGCGAGATACAAGGCAGGCATTTCGATAGTGGTGCCGCCATCTAGCGGTGACATCTGAACTACTCAATCATGCAAACTTCGTGCATCAAACAAAGTGCACCTCAGCCTATAGCACAAGACGTGTTTGGCGCCTGGCGCTAAACCCCATTATTGCTACGCCTCGGAAATTCTATTGGCCAGCACTAAAAATTTTGCCACGGGAACAAAGTGGGACGCATTAAACAAGTGTTTAATGCCGGGCACCAAAAATTTTTCTCAGTGTAGCTTCCGAAATTTTCAAATGAATCTCAGGAAAAAAGGACGTACTTTCTGGACGATCCCTATGGACGGAAAGCCAAAATGTCGAGTGCTCGAAA